CGGTTGAAGGCTAGAAGATGAAGCATAGCTCAAAAAGTAAAGTCACTAGCAGGAAATATCAACTGAAACCCAAAGCTAAAGGAAGTTCATTGCAAGGGGAGTACATAGAAGCAATGTTCAGTTGAACACTGAAGTTATCTGTAATAAGATGTCATGTATCACTAGAAGTGAACATTGGATGGAAGATGTAGATGAAGGTAAATTAAAACAACTTGGTGGCAGAATGGGAAGACATCAAAATGGTCTGGGGAAAGGAGAAAAGTGAGAATAGAACTAGAACGGCGAGGTCAAAGCAACTGGGAAAGCCAGAGGCATAAATCTTCTTGATTGTTGTCTCTGCTGGGAGACAGCTCATCGCTGAAGAAAAGTCAGGTTTAAGTGAGACTGACAGGAAACAGGAAACAAATAGATGGTCAATAGTGCAGAGACTGTGAAAGAGGAGACTTTAAAAAATGAGAAGAGATAATTGAGAGCTGGGGAAAATGCAAAGAGAAGCAAAGAAGAGAAAAATGATGAGCAGCAACAACGAAAGGAGAATGTAGAACAGGGGAGAATGCCAAGTGTCTCTCCTGTTTAGTAAGACTTAGGAAGTATTAAGAAAGGCAGAGCACATCACACAGCTTTACATAAGAGATGGCTTGTTTCCTTTATGCATTCAATCATTTCTTCTTGCCACGTAAATCAATGGTACTGCTGCTAATAATTATGATTTTATAGCATGTAGTGTTTTTTCTGTACAAGTTTCTGGGATAATGCAACTTTGAAAAATTCAGTTCCTCCCCCCCATCCTTTTTTTTTTTAAACTGTAAATTTTTGGATCTGTTTTTTTGTAGGAAAAGGTCTGAAAATTGATCTTTAAGATGTAAAAACAAAGGAAAAGTAAATCAACATATACAAAATAAATTGTTACCAAAAATCTTTTTCAAGAGTAAGCCTTGATTATGGAACAGAATCAGGGGTTTTTAACCTCTTCAAGTTGTCAGCATTAAGGTACAGCATGACCTAAGAGTTCTGTGGGGCACCTTTCTCTTGCTGTGAAGAAGCAGTGAGCATTAGCAAGTGCTCCCTGCATAAGAAAGGAGTACATTTAGGAACAGATATTAGCATTACATTTTAACTTTTGTTTGTCATGTTTGGTTAGGTTAATAAGACATGATGAATGTCCGCTTGGATGTGATTTTTTTCTTTCCAACGACTATAAAGACAACTCAAACTGGCTCAGGACAGATACTTAAATTTTCTCAAACCCTGATAAATTTTGGGTTTCATCCAACCAACCTTAAGTTGTTTCAATGTCAGGATAGGTTGGGTGAATATCACCCTTTATCAGAGACCAGTCCATTGTCCATTCAGATAAATTCCAGAGGAAAGGACATAGAAACATAGTTTTATAAACACACTATCTTTGCAAAAGCGTCAACAGAAAAATTACATATTTGTTATTGAAACATATATTTTTTTAAAGGTTTGAAAGTGCATAAAAGCCAAAATCTGACAAATATTCATCTGCTGTGAAACCTACCTGATTCCATTAGCCTTTTCAATGTTGTATGGAAAAAACGTAAAATTTGGAAAGGAGTTTGACGGATCAAAAGGAACTTCCAGTACCACCGAAAGGTGACTGTCTTATTAGGGAAGCGGTAAATTTTATCTTTGGTAAACAACCATTCAATAAGCTTGCAAAGGTAGTGTTTGTCAGCTGTTTGCCAGCTGCAGCTCTTCAGTACATTCACCTATTGTAACTGGCGCTTAGTCACATTTAAATCTGAATTCTACAAGGATGCAGGGGTTCACATAGATCAGCTTGCAGTACTGGGATGACATCCTGTATTCTTTATATGACACTGGATAGGCAAGATATGAAACAAGATGGTTTATTCCTGGGGGACTTAGTGCACTTAATCTTTTACCTCTGATTCTGGCTCAGTTCTTTCATGCTTTTGTCAAAAAACAAAACAAAGCAATACAAAAAGCCTCATGGTTCTTGGCTGCAGCATAAAAAATATGCAATATGACAACTGATAGTCTAGTCACAGTCTTTTTAACACAAGGAATGAATAGCGATGTGTCATATGTATATATGCGAGCAAAGTCAAATGCTACCTACCCACTTGCAGTCATTTCATTGTGTTATTTCCACAAATATAAATAGTTTTTTATCAACCACCTGGCTCTTTTCTGCTCTCTTTGTCTCATCAGAAGCTTGTTATATGTGGGTGAAGAAACGCTGAATATATTCCATAACCCTATTCTTTTATCAATAATTTCCTGTTATCATTACACAATGATTTGAATTTTGTGAATATGGCCACAAAGGATCAACTCAATTAAACCAAAACTACAAAGGGAAAATCTCACTGCAAGCCTCTGTGCAACTGGTGAACCCAGTAATTACATATAGCCACCTATTGTGATAGCATTATAACATGTGAAGAAGGTTTAGTTAGACACATTTACACACATAAAAAGCAATATGGGCATAGAAAAAGTAATTTTTGCCAAAAGTATAGAGCAGTCACACAGTAACAAATGAAAGCTGCATGAATCCTGGTTTACTTGGCTATAAATAAATCCAACATTTTCTTTCTCTCCATGGTAAAATAAAATAGGAGCACAGAAGCATAACAGTCTCCTTTGAGCAACCAGCCTCTTTCTGTTCAATTATAGTCATCAATCTGTTCCACCTAAAATATTTTCCTCCTTGAAAAACCAAAGAAATCAGTATTAGGATCCAAAACATGCTGTTGCAAAAATAATGTAAAAGAGGTGTTTCCTTTTGGTAAAAGCATTTGTTCTGAAAGACTGTATTTTCTTTAACATGCATTTTGTAATCTGAGTGGAAAAAAAAAAATGCTGCATTTATATGGCACTTTTAATCAGAAAATCTTGAAGAGCTTGGTAAGGAAAGGTAAGGGTTACCTTCATTTCACAGACAGAGAAAACTGCAACAATGAGAGCTTAAAATCTTCTTCCCCCCGCCCCCAATCTGTCTCCTATGTATATTCCTTTTAGACACCCAACTGGAAGCCTTTAAATCCTGATATTCAGAAGTGCTAAACGGACAAAGCTTCAGTTGCACGAGTACCCTTTCTCTCAACAGTGACAGGGTCAGATTCTGTAGCACTGGGCGACGGTCGCCTGTGCATAATCCCACAGCAAACTGGAGAGCAGGGGAGGAACCGAGTCAGGTCTCCTGCTTCCTGTTGCATGCTCTTACAAAACTTGTCTAGGATGACAGAGGATTTTTCATTACTTGAAATCACTAGGTGAAGTCTAGATGTTGTCTCTAATACATATGCAAGCCATAGGTTCAGTAACATCTCTAGGCTTGATGTGAGGATCGTTCCATAAAATCATACAGCTTGTGTCACAGCTAACGTGGGATAACCGTATCATATCTTCTGACCTGAAAAACCCTATAAATTTATGACTCTGAGAACACGAGAGGATAAACTATAATGAATTATCCTGGGAGTAACACAACAAACTTCTGATTAAGGCTTTTTCATCTTCCTGAGATGTGGTACTAGCCACCAAATTGCACTGTCTCTTTCTTTACCCTGTGTGCCACTGAACCATCAAAGCACATAAAGTAAAGCCAATTTTATTTAGCTAAATGGGAAAAAATCCAAATCCTCTTCTTCATGTGGTGGTTCTGTACAGACATCTACAGAGAGCAGAACACTGTCCACCTGTGCATGTTTGAAGAATTATAGAGAATTATTTTAAAGATGAAAAATCAAGGTGCCAAAATAACACAATCTGTGGTGCAAAAATAGTTTCAGGCTAAGTTCTCTGTGCTCAAAATCTCATCATAAACTCCAAGAACTGAACGAGCACAGAGACCAATCCTTTCAGTCACAGGGATGGTTCCAAAATAATATAAAATGGTATCCAGGAAAGCACTATGGGGAAATTAAATAACCCATAAATATTCCTGCTAACTTTAACAACTACATAAACTGTCCTAGGTGTGGGAGAAGGGAAGGTTTTGAAGTAAATCTCTTGTCTTTTTTTTCATTTGTTTGTTTGTTTGTTTGTTTGTTTTGGGTTTTTGAGATCTTTAAAGAGCAAAATGACTACAGTTTTTCCTATTTGTTCATTGCCCTGTACGGTGAGTTTGTCCTCAGTTCAAAGCATTACTGCAGGGGATTATTTCTACTGCACTACAAAAGAATAGCTTGATCATGGTCATTAAAATTTCCTCCAAGATCTAAGTATGAAGTATCCTTTAAAACATTGGTTAGCTGTTCTTACAGCAAGCATCAGTTATTCATGTCATATTTTTTTTTAAGGCATTTCTTCGGAAGCCAGATCTTGCAATTAATGTTTGGTTTAATATCTTTTGTTCAATGTATAAAAGGTTAGTTTTACAATCCTCTCTTAATGTCCACAGTGCACTATTGTAGATTCAGAGGCCTATAATTTTTATCAACATGCAACACATCATTTCAGAAACCTAAATCAGAGAATTCTTTTTTTCATTCAGCATGCAGACAACTAAAGCCCTTTTTTCCCCTGGGGTGATATGCTAGTTTGATTTTATTTTCCCTGACATTTCACCTGTCAGATTATGATAAGTAGAAGAAACAAAGAATAATCATCACATTCTCACTGAATCTCATAATCAAATATCTGGAAATATAAGATAAATTAGAAACATCCTGAGGAAAAACATTAACTCTGAAAACACCATCAGATATCTAAATCATCTTCCAGTGACCCAGGACTCCCATACAGGTTTAAAAAATTCAGAAAGGAAGCCTGCACTGGACTGTCACATCTACTTTTTTTTATCTTCAAATACTAGGGAACGACCTACAATGACGTAAGAAAGAAAAGAAAAAAAAAGTTGTGGTTAAGAAAATCTATTTAATAATAAAACCGTATGTCTCCTTTAAGTCTTTCATGAATGCTTTCTGAAAGCAATCCTGAGGCCAAGACACAGGAAAGGTTATCATGAAATAGTATAAGCTCAACTAGTTGGCAAGGTGAAGAGATTAATGAGCCAGAACACACCAAGCATGCTCCTGATTTACTGCATCTGTAGTTTGCATGTTCCCAATTTCTCTCAGTCTCACAGTGTTGAGATTCATAAGTGATGAAAACTTACCTGCTTGACCGGTGGTAATACTGACAGCTGCAAAAAGCCTCTGGGAACGACTTAAATCAGAAACCCCATTCACAGCTTCAACTTCAAACGTGTAGTTAGCATGAGCTAGCAGGTCCATGACAGTGACATAGTTATCTACTAATCCGGTTTGCTGGGGCATATATCCAATGTTACTCCCACAGGGAACACATTCGCCCTGCTCCCAGCTGCACCTCTTGCACAAAATGCGGTAGGTCACATCATTTCTTCCCCCGTTGTCAGCAGGAGGACTCCACTCCAAACTCACGGTAGTCTGGTTGATATTGAAAATGAGGTTCTGTGGTGCAGATGGAGGTCCTACGTAACACACAAAAAAGGCCAAGATAATTGCACAGAACCACGGTGGGACATGTAGCTAGCATTTTAATTACTGAGACAGAAAACAGTTGAAGCATTTTTCTTCACATAAACATTTCATTATTTTTAGTACAAGCTGCATAAAAGCTTCCTTGAACTCACTTGGCAAGAACTTTATTTATTTTCCATTAAGGCATCAGAATAACAATTGTCTGTATATTTACTGCAACTGACTTTAGCTGTTTCTCTTCTGCAATTAAAAGGATTGGTTAATGTACCTTAAAGGTTGCCTTTTATAGTTTTCCCAAGCATGGCTTTTGTTTGTCTCTTCTAAACATACTGCACCAACTGCACCTAGTCCTCTGTTATCAGCTCTGATGTGATTTACAGAGGTGTTCGGTGCTGCTTTGGAGTTAGGAGACTTCCACTATTTGAATCACCAATCTGTGTAGGCTAGTCTATTTGCAGTTAGAAGGTTAAGCCAGATCCAATTACAGTTCAATCAAAGCTCAGATCCACACAGGTTACTTTTCATTTTTCATGTTACTCATTTTGGTATTATATCACATAAAGCACATTGTCTTCAACAGTTTTACAACCATGGGAAAACTATGCCTGTATTCTATCTATTACAATGAGTTGCACACTTACACAACATGCAATGTTTTCCAATGTTATGCCAAGCAAACATGAAAATTATATTTATGCTGATTCTATATTCACTGTCAACTTTTTTTCCCCTCTGCCTTTCAATTTCATTTACTGTTGCAAATGTACTTTTCAAACATAGGAAAAGCCAACCGAAACTACTAGCTACAGGTGGCTGCACCTGGTTGGTTAAGCAACGTCCTTTACTATTAAATTCATGACTGACTCACTTGTGCATGCGACATATGGTGGATCAGAAGGTGCTCTATAATAGCTATCTTCACAATCGCATCTTGAAGATCCTTCCTTGTCAGAGAAGCTGTGAGTAGGGCAGCGGGAGCACTGCAGATCTTGTGAGGAGGATTTGTAGAACCCACGGCCACAAGCTAAGGTAGAACAAAACAAATTAAGGTTTAGATTTGCGTGGACTGCTGTTCTGATCTTTTTTGTCTGTCACGTGAGGCACACATTCCTGTAAATGTCTAAACTACCCATTCTGTTATGTTGGCAGCAAGCAAGATATTATGCTCACAATTTCTTTTGCTTCAGTTGATGCTGTTAGTGATTTTGTGGCATTTTTATGAGTTCAAGCATACACTACAAATACCTCAACAGAGGGCCACAGAAATATAACAAGCATCTGTTTTTCACCAAAGAAGAGTACAATAATGGTGTGAAACAGCTGGATGTCTGCAATAGCCTAAATAAGGGGAAAACAGTCTGGAGAAGCTCTGCTCTAAGGCCACTGAAGTGTTTCTGGAATCTGAACTAGTTGATTTTGAATTATTGGAGCAAAGGTTACTCTTCCCTGATCTGAGAAACCCAAAGAAGCTGTAATCCACTGGTGAACCCTGATCCCGACGAAAGAATGAGGCATGGACACTTGCTGGACAGATGATGTTGGTAGGAACAAGCAGAAAGAGGAGGAGGGCCGGCAGCGTAAGCTGCATATTTTTTTTTCCAGATTCATGGAGAGAGACAACTAGGCTGAAATGAATTTACTAAAACTTTCAAGGGAAAGTTAAAAGGTCAATAATTGGAACTACGCATATAAGATCATTTCATACTTTGGTTTGCCCGCTGTGAACCCATGGAAGTAAAAAAATACGTTGTGTTCCAAAACTGATGTTTAGAAATACTTCTTTTGGCTACTGCCACAGTTCCCAAAGCAGAAACACCCATAAAACACACCTATAATGACACTTTCAAGCAGAGAACTGCAACCTAGAGAGCCAGCTTAAGAATGGATAAAGTATGAGAGCTGTTGGGGATGAGGAAGATGGAAGTGGGGATCAGACAATGCTGAAACTGGAAACAGATTACAACTCCATTTCAGCACTGAGGTTATGGGCAAACTTACAAACACTGTCAACATGAAAAACAGAACACAAAAGTCCTCCAGAACTTTCTAAAAAAGCAGAGGCTTTTTCAACCACACTATTTTATTCTTTTTTTTTTTTTCCCAATCCTAACAGACAGTCTAACCTTCTTAAGCCATCACCTGTATGCAAAGAAAAGGGACAACGAGTGAAACTTAGTATTGGGTATCAAAATATTAAAGCTAGTTAAATAGTCATTCTGAATTCAGAGAGAGAGAATTTACTTTGGTTCTATTCGTATTTGCCTGAATATTTTCTCAGAACAGAAATGCAAAGTATCCAAAGACACTGATATTTGGAACAGTTATTTAAGTTGTCTGGCACTGCAGTGATGGAAAGAGCATGAAAACAATGAGCTTTATCCAAATCTCACTGAAGTCAGTGAGGAGTGTCTTTGACTTATTAATAGCCCTTGGACTGGACCCACAGTGTAGCTACAGTGACATGACTCTTATTAATCTGATGATTTTTATACAACTCAGAGAAAAAAAAATAGTGGTAATACTTAAGACAGCAGTAGATTAAAGTTGATGAATTATGTAAATAAACAGTGGATAATTACCAATATAAAATGATAGGAAATTCTGGCCCTCTATTTCTGTCAATACACTAGCTTTCTAAAGAAAAATATGCCTAAAGGACAGAAATTGCCATAACATTTAGAGTTTGTTATCCTGAAAAAAAACAGTGGATGGAATCTAAATTACCTGGCAGAGAAAATTAGCATGCAAAACATGTATCTTTTGACTTTGACAAAGGGGTACGAGTTTGCACTAGAAGAAAATCTAGCACTGCTTGTAAAACATGCTATAGTTTAATTCTACCACAGTACCTTTTACATATGCTATTTAGAAAAGAAGACAGAAAGAATTTTGGAGAAACACTTTGGATAAGTATGACCCGTGAATTCATAATTGTGCCAAATTTAACTCAGAATTATGCTTTTACACCTTCATTCAAGATTGTTTCACAATTTCCTGACCAAAGACAAAGAGCACAAAAGCTGAACTGATTTGTATGCCTGTACCTTAAGACATATATTTAAACTTTTGTCTGCTCTTTCAGTACTTGCAATTGAAATGTAGCTAAAATTACCAGATAATAGTTTCCTGCCTTTCTTAAATAGTCATGTTCCTCTCATACCGAGCAAAACACTGGACAAATACGCTGGGTCTTCCAGCACGCAGCCCTCTGCAAAGCAAAGAGCAACTTGAAAGGCAAAGATCCCTACTGTGTTTCCAGTCTGTCCTTCTCAGCAGGGAACATTACAAAGCAAAGACGCAGAGGGTAAAATAGAGATTTCAGACAGAAATAACAAAACGTAAACAGAAAACCCCTTTCCATTTTTTTCTGATGACTTGATCAAGGCATTTGTATGCCTAGTCACTTACCATTTAAAGTAAGTGTGCATTTCTTATTAGAGTTCAAAGGATCTGAATGTCTGTGACTAGTTTACATGACTGAAAGCCATTTATTCTCCTGCACAGCTTACCACAGGCAGCAAGTTCGGGCGCTCATACCATGCTACCATTCCATTAGCTTTTTTTCCAATAAGAGGCTTGTGATGGCATTTAATAACCATCCCTTCAACATATACACCCCATAAATATAAAGGGCAGAATATTCCAGCAATGAAATTTTTAACAGTATGGAAAGAGTTCTTTTAAAAAGGATTTTTTAAAACTTTTTAATTCTTTAGAAAGCAGGGTATGGAGTGGTATATATCATAATTAATAGTACTCATTGGAGTAATACAACTATATTATTTTCCCATTTTTATTCATAAATTTAAATTTGTCAAAAAATCTCTTCTTTTTTCAGCCAAGCAGTGGAATACTGCTATTGCTCAAAAATCTGGGAGCTATGAATCTTTATCTGTTTTAACATATATCATTGTCTTTGCCAAGAAACTTCCAACTAAAATCTCTACCAAGACAGGCTGTTGCATGCACCACTTACCAAGGTGTGATGACTTGCCAGTGATCTATTACTTATCACAGATGGGAAAGAACCATTCAAAAATACTTTTTGACTCCCTTTTCTCTCTCTTTTGTTCTATCTCATGAAATTGCCATGGTGATTATTTTTTTTTTAATATTAAAAGTAACTTAAATACATTGTTTTGTTCTGATCTATTCTAAATCCACCTATTTTGATTCAATTTAGTTCTTTATGCAATATTTTTAAGATCACAGGGACAGGTGGTATAAGATCCCCACTGACACTACCTCCATGAGCAACAGTGAAAAGATGCTGATTGTAAAAAAACCTCCAACACATTAACTAAATATTACTTGGAGCTCTATACATGTAAATCTAAAGGTGATAAATACAGGTACTGTCCCACAAAAGAATCTCATGGCAAAGCTTGAGACAACTCAAATTGCATTTGATCACATCCATTTTCATATTTCAATTCATCAGTGCAGCACTTCTTCCCTATAAAGGGAGCCTATACTGTAAATCAAGGCATAGAACTCAAGCAATGATGGGAGATATGGAGGAGGGTATAACTGGCAAGGCAGCAGTCTGATGTTGTAGCCATAATCTTCATTATTGTTGATGTGAATAAAATGTGACCTCATTTGATCTTACTAAGATCCAGGAGCAATTTTGCTACTGAAGGGCTTCTGGGGTACTGGAAAAGATGGCAGGGTGGGGGGAAAAGGGAAGAAAGCCAGCACAGAATAAATTTACTTCCATTCACTGTGGTGTGTCATTTACAGCTGGTAATTTAATAGAACAGTTCTTCCCAGATGAAGCTCCTATTTTGTTCAAACAGCTGCTCCAAAGCCTTATACGTTCCAGGAAAGGGTTTCAAACCAAGAGCAGTCAACTTTACTGACAGCACAAAGACACAGAATAACACCAACCAGCCTAACCTAAACCAGTCTTCAAATAACACAAAAATTAGTTGCTAATTCTTCCCCCATTTACTACAAAATTAACAATAAGTACAGAAGAAAGCTATGCTTCAGCCAAGGCACAATTCTCTGCTTAGTATCTTAGCCTCAAAACTGTTAGGGACTGACCATCAGTGATGCCCCCAGGGCTGCCCAGCACCTTGGATTTGTTTACTTGTCTGCGATAGCTATGGCTGCTCCTCAGAGCAAATCTTCTCATCTCCTCTGCAAAGCAAGGAGGTTTCTCTTCTTGGGAAGCTGGCAGAGTTCCACTGCGAAATACAAAGGCGATGCAAACAGTCCTCGGATGAGATATCCTCCTTACGCCGTGAAGCTGCAGTTTGAAACTGAGCAGGGTATTGTCATTTCATATTTAAACTTCCTTGCCTGGAAGCCCTAGATAAAGTGGTACACTATTCTGTCTGTATATAATGCAAGACCCTGGTGAAGATGACACTAGCAGTCTTTCTTGGACTGGACTGAGTTGCTTTCTTCTTGTACATCCAGTAGCACTTAGCCATAACAAGGATGTACGGTGACAGTAGGGTCTGGTAGATGGCTGGGCAAGGCTGCAGCGTCAGTGCATGGTACTTATTCGAATACGCATTTAGCATATGCCACTGCGGTCAGTGCAATCACAAACACTTTGAGCCAATGTGTTTGGTATCTTTTAAGGGCCTGTACAAATACTGTAAATAATGGAATATTGCAAAGCCACAAGTAAATACTGAGGAATTAACACACACTGCTAAGAACTATAACGCCACATCTGTGGCACGACAAAGCATTAGCTGGTCTTAACTAGAGGTGCTGACTGTAGCTTATGTAGAAAAATAACAGCTTCTCTGCTGTGAGCTCATCACATGCCTTAGCGGCCTGGTAGAGATCAAATAATGTATATTTTTCTTTTCATATTTATAAAAAAAAAAAAAAATCCCAGGAAACTTTGGAAGGGGGAATGAAGGCAGATGTAGACAGCAGCACACAGCAGTCTGGAGTCCCACTTGTGGGACAGGAAAAAGGAAAAAAGGGATGTGTTAAGTACTGTTCATTTTGATGTCATCTTTTGACTATAAACACTGTAGAGATTCATTTTGCTTCTAG